GTTAACAGAGATACTGACTTCATGTTAGTAAGCACCAGAGTTGGGGGAGTTGAGTCACATGATTTGGCTCGAGCCAGAGTTAAGTAGCAAATTTGAGTGTCAGGTTCCCCCCAGAAACCCAGGACCCAGATGCACGACTAAACAGGCACTGGTAAGGAAAGCTGTTCTGGGTTGGAAAGAGGAAAGACAGCTATGAAGTACAAGTGAGGACTGTGGCATGACATGTGAGAAATCAGGCTGGCAGAGTCCACGTCAGAATACAGGCAAGGTGGAGTAACAGGTAACAGGGTCCAAGAACTGAAGATGGCTGGAAAGCACTGCAAGCAGCATGTGCTAGACAAGCAGAGAGAGTTCAGGAACTGAAACCTGGGGGAAAAAAAGACATGAGACAGTAGGACCCAACTCCATGCACCAAGTGTGACAATCTGATATCCAAGGCTTGGCAGGAAACTGGTTATATAGGCAGAGCAACAAGCTACAGGTGAGGTCAATCTGCCAAGTGCAGCAGATCAGGTGCAATCAGCCACAGCAGCCAGAGATGAAAACAGAGCAAGAGAGGAGCCTTCCCTGAAATCAGGAAGTGGAGCTAGTGAGACAGTGAAAACCTGGAAGCCTTTTCAAAATAAGAAGCTTCAACAGGAAGGAGAGGCACGGTACATGACACTGAGTGCTTGACTAACACTTGTAAAAGACATGACTTTGACTTGGCATCCATGACCTGAGACTTGACCTAGACATCAGACAGATGACTTGAAATTACTTAACTTTTTAAATGTGATATTTGCATTTTTTTAGATATTGAAAAGTTAAGTTTTATTTTTGAAACCACTGGGTGATTTCTAAATGAAAAAAATTAGGGGCACAGTTTCTGAAAGAAATAACATTAAAGCATCTCTTTTATGAATGTTTAACATTAAAATATAATTTGCATAATGCACAGGGACAAACATTTTACAAATAAATTACTAAAGAGTTTTAAAAGGTATGATATAGCCTACAGTAGTTGGGACCTTGCAAAGACCAGGGTGCATTGTGCCGCATGAATTCATCCTTTTTCAAACAATACAGCATTTACTAATTGATTTTATAATTTGAAAATAAAGCTGGAGTTTGATAACATTTAATACAATCTGAATCAGCATCAAATTAGTGATGGAATCAACTTGAACAGAATTATAATGAAAAAGCCATACTCAGCACTGGCTAAAACTGAAAAGCTGCTACCTGAATGATTTCTGCATTGATTTATTATTATTTAAAAAAAAAATAAATTTACATTTCTATTTGAAATATAACACTTTTTACTCAAACGCGCACCAAATCCATCTGGAGACACACTATCACTTACAGCCAGTGTCAAGTGTTACAAGAATCATGTAGTAAATAGAGGTGGTGATTTCTGAATCATGACACAGAAATACCTGAACATAAATTATATTTACCTGTATATAATTTTGATATGATCTAATTGTTATTTACACAACTTACATAGCTTATATGATGTTTTCATTCCTGTAATAGAAAAACTTTATCAGAAACACCTTTTCATTTGACCATCCACAACAACAACAACAACTACAAATGAACTCGTCTCATAATAACCATAAAACTGAGCGGACACACTAATGAGTATCAACAAAACAATCTATAGGTCAATCGTTAATCAGAATCTTTATTGCCAGGTGTGTTAAAAATACAAGTTCAGTGGCCCCCAGTGTGCACTAAATAAAGTAGCATAAAAACTCTGAATAAATCCTAGAATAACAACATAAAACACAGGAAGACAAATACAACAATTTATATATATATATA